TTGGGCTTAAAAGGCGGCTGGGCTTATTAACCGTGGGCTTAATAGCCGGCGACTCCTGTATACTAATTCCTACAGTTTTGTACCACTTATTCAGAAACGAGGTCTAGTCCGCTGCCTCACGAACCGAGCCAGGAGAATATGCTCTTCACAGACACTGGAGAAAGAACTCGTACTCATCAAAAACATCCTACACGAAAATGGATTTCCCGAGAAGTTCGACAATAAGTTTATGGAAGGGCGTCCACCAAAATCGGAGGTACCGAAGGCTGAAAAAAAACCTTAATTCTTACATTGCCATTTCAAAGGGATCCGGCAAGTGAACTTCTACAGCTTCGCTGCAATTGCGCGTACGTATCCGGCAGCTAAGTTAAGATTAGTATGAACTGGAAAATCGGCATCCCAAGAAGTATAATTCGGTAGAAGAAGTTCTTTGGGAAAATGTTTGAGTGAATTTTCGACACTAGTTCACTAAGTCGTCATCAGACGGATGGAAATCGTACGAAACAGTTAAGACAAAATGATGGCTAACGGAGGCTAATATAGTGGGTCGGGGTAAAAATTGGTAATTGTCACCGCATGTGATTATGCGGTCAGTGGGGAAGAAAATAGTTGTTACCCCCATGCAATTATGCGGTCGGTCGGGAACTAATTGTCGACTGCATCTAATTGTGCGGTCGGTGGTGGCTGGTTTTGGCTTCCTCTAGTCTGGGTAGGCTGCCGTCTCTTCCATGCTTCTCTGAGGTTGGTGTATATCGCGTCCAATTCGACGTGCCTGTTGATACACGAGTCGTCGGAGTGTATGGCTTCTAAAAACTCGCGGCCTTTCTTGTATGGTCGGTTTGTGCGCAACTTGGATTTGGTGCTTCCTCAGATGTCTTTCAACGAGTTGAGACATGTTCTTAATATATGGAAGTGTTCTCCAAGTTCGTGGATTGTGTGCCTGAGCGGAACAACCTAGTTCCTTTTCTTTCAGTTTTAACTGCTGTAGTCTCATGCATCGACGCACGAACTCTCTGGGGTACCCGTTTTTGAAAACAGTTTGAACAGATGATTGAGTTCGGCTTGGTAGAGTTCGGGGCTAGAGCAATGTGTTCTTGCTCGATTGATTAGGGTGGTAACGGCACTCCGTTTGTGAGCAACAGGGAAGAAGCACCAAATCCAAGTAGCGCACAAACCGGCCATTTCTCTGCGAAATCAGCTTGTACACCCTAAGGATAGGGTTAGCTATTTGGACAGAAAGGAAGTCATTTAAAAGATCCCTTTTAGCGGTTGCAATGCAGTTTATTGCGGACAAACAGAAAGATCAGCCTCTACCCGCTTACGCGAACATCAAAGAGCGGTAAAGGGACTTGTCTGAAGTCACCATGCACGCATTAGAAACTGGACACCAATTTTTACGGGACGAAACTCGCATTGTTGGCTCTTGTCCATAAAAGAGTGGCCGTCAATTCTTAGAAGCCATACACTCCGACGACTCGTGCATCAACAGGCACATCGAATTGGACGCGATGTACACCAACCTCAGAGAAGCATGGAAGAGACGGCAGCCTACCCAGACTAGAGGAAGCCAAAACCAGCCACCACCGACCGCACAATTAGATGTGGTCGACAATAAGTTCCCGACCGACCGCATAATTACATGCGGGCAACAACTATTTTCTTCCCCACTGACCGCATAATCACATGCGGTGACAATCACCAATTTTTACCCCGACCCACTATATTAGCCTCTGTT